CCTACATATGAGCAGCTTGTGGAACAAAAATAAACAAAATCAGGGCGAGTCTCAGGTGCTCCAATTTCCCCAAGAACGGCACATCATGGCTAAAATGCATATAGACTTCTCAGGAAGAACGAAAATGTGTCTGCGGTCATAGTTCGTGCCTAGAAGCAGGGCCTGAAGAGAGATAATCTCCTTCAGGCCACAATGGGAAGATGGACATACTTCTCGCCCAATCAAGGGCCGAACAGAGAAAGACCATTGCCAACCTGGCCATCAAGATAATGGTTCTTACAGGAGAAACTATCAGTACCCTGTACAAGAAGCTCTCGCGAACTAAGAATTCTGCTCGTCATCCCAAATTAACTTCGGAGTTACAACCCTGAACACTCGCGGCATCGCCGCTTTGAGTCGAAGAATCCAGTTCGGCTGTTTTCTCAAGGAGCATGAGATTGACATCTACTTCCTGCAGGAGTCCAACGTCATTTCCCTGGACGACGTAGGAGACCTCTGCCATAGCTACAGCCCGTTGTTGTGCCCGAAATGGGATCAGGCCTCTCCTGCGTCTTCGCGGCCGGGGTCGTTTTTCACTGTCAACAAATACTGTTGCTTGACAAGCAAGACTGTCATCGACCTCACCGTCCGGGAGTCTCCATGACTTGCGTCAACGTCTACGTCTCTCATGATCCTGAAGAGCGGTTCCGCCAGCTCCAGACCGTCGCAGCTATAACGTGGGAAGAAGGTACGTGGATCCTCGGTGACCTGAACATCTCCGAGGAGTCGACGAAGGACCTGGCCTCCGGTTCAGCAGAAGCCCTCGCGGAGCTCCTGGACCAAGCCGACCTCGTCGACTTCGCCACCGATGCTGCACTGGAGCACACCAGGGTTGCCATCATTGGAAGTCGGGTCGACGTGCGTAGTCTGGACAGAATTCTACTTCCATCAGGCTTCTGCGACCGCGTCACCCAATGCCAAACTATAATCTTTGTCTACTCGGACCACTGTGCCGTACTGATTCAAGTAGGAGAAGCAGCTCATACACGACTTCCCTGCATCGGCAAGCTGCAACCGTCCGGCATATTCTTTGGTCGAATAGAAACGTTCATCGATGAACTACCGGAAGACCTAGCTAATCCTTTACCTCCGATGTTATTGGAACAATGGACTGGGATCAAGGCAGATCTGGTCACAGAGATACGTTGGCTCGCGCCTGTCTTCGCCGTGTCCGGCTGTGGATACATCGAGAAAGCAAGCCACTTCCTGAGGCGTATATTGGAGGAAGACACTGCCCGCTCCGACTATTCTTCCTTCTCGGACCTCGGGCGTTCCCTCCGAGCCAGACGTCGCTCTCCCTCCACCTTCACCGACGAAGACGGCGACGCCATCTGCGGGTTCAGCTTAGGAGTTTCCTTCTGGAGCGCTTGAGCAGTTGGTTCGCCAAGACTCCTAGCTCGGCTGAAGTCATCGCCGACTTCCTCGCTAAAGTGACCCCTTTGGAATTCGACGAGTGAGATTAACTCTTTCTCGCCAACATCCACCGCGACCAGACTGCGGAAACTATTCACTGCCTGCCAAATTTGCGAGTTTTTCGAAGCCTTTGAAGATTGCTTCGCCAAAGTTCTTTGGCATGTCTTGGCCTTGCCCCCATCTTCAAGACGCAGCAAGGTCATTCTGCTGCCGAGTCGCACGGTGCTCGGATCTACAGGCATTTAGCTCAATCAGTCTCCCAACGACCGACTACAGACTCCTCAGCGGCGTGCTCATGGGCCGTCTGCGCCGTCATCTGCCAGACCTCGGACCTGAGTGCCAGACCTTTCCGGGACGGTCATTCTCATGGAACATTGTGCGAGATTCCGACAAAGTCGTCGGGGGAGCAAGACTTGACACGCCAACATGCCACATGACTTCGCACTCTTCATCAGGGACGACTCTCAGTTTGAGCTCGTGCTCTTGATCTTCGAAGAGTTCCGCATGGCCTCCGGGGTGGGTGACAACTTCGACAAGAATTGCGGGC